GTTCAATAAGGACTGACTTGTGGGCAAAGGCTTTACCACATTCACTGCATGAACAAGGTCACTACCCAGTATGAGTTCGCAGATGTTTAGTGAGCGCTGACTTGCGTGTAAAGGCTTTGTTGCACTCATTACATTTGTAGGGTTTCTCTCCTGTGTGTGTTCTCTGATGTTCAGTGAGCTGAAACTTCCTACCAAATGTTTTTCCACATTCATCGCATCCATGGGGTTTTTCTCCTCTTTCAGTTCTTTGATGTCCATCAAGATCTGCTTTCCTGAGGAAGGCTTTCCCACACTCACTGCATTCATATGGTTTCTCTCCTCTATGACGTCTCTGGTGTACACTGAGACTTGCCCTTTGGGAAAAGGCTTTCCCACACACACTACATCCATAAAGTTTCTCTCCAGTGTGAGATTGCTGGTGTGCATTGAGTGTGGACAACTGACCAAAAGTTTTGCCACATTCACTGCATGAATATGGTCTCTCTCCAGTATGTGTTCGCAGATGCCGAGTGAGCTCTGTCTTGGTTCCAAAGGCTTTGCTGCACTCATTACATTCATAAGGTTTCTCTCCTGTATGAATTCTCTGATGTCTGGAAAGCTCTGACTTAAAATAAAAGGTTCTTCCACATTCAGTGCATTCATAACACTTCTCTCCTGTATGAACTCTCTGGTGTAGAGTGAGTTGTGCCTTTCGGAAAAAGGCTTTTCCACATTCAGTGCATTCATAAGGTTTTTCTCCTGTATGAGTTCGCTGATGTTCAGTAAGCTGAATCTTCCTCATGAAGGTTTTTCCACATTCATTGCATCCATGGGGTTTCTCTCCTCTTTCGGTTCTTTGATGTCTAAGGAGATGTGATTTCTTGTAGAAGGCTTTCCCACACTCACTGCATTCATATGGCTTCTCTCCTGTATGAACTCTCTGGTGTAGAGTGAGTTGGGACTTTCGGGAAAAGGCTTTTCCACATTCAGTGCATTCATAAGGCTTCTCTCCTGTATGAGTTCGCTGATGTTGAGTAAGCTGACTCTTATTCATGAAGGTTTTTCCACATTCATTGCATCCATGGGGTTTGTCTCCTCTTTCAGTTCTTTGATGTATAAGGAGATGTGATTTCCTGTGGAAGGCTTTGCCACACTCACTGCATTCATATGGCTTCTCTCCTGTATGAAGTCTCTGGTGTACAGTGAGATATGCTTTTTGGGAAAAGGCTTTCCCACATACACTGCATCTACAGGGTTTCTCTCCGGTGTGAGATCGCTGGTGTCTAGTGAGCTGGGACTTATCAATGTAGGCTTTCCCACATTCACTGCATCTATACGGTTTCTCTCCTGTATGAGATCGCTGATGTACTCTGAGCAGGCACTTTTTGGAGAAGACTTTCTCACACTCATTACATCCATGGAGTTTCTCTACTCTTTCATTTTTTTTATGTCTAATGAGCTGTGCTTTCCTGAAGAAGGTTCTCCCACACTCACTGCATTCATATGGCTTCTCTCCTGTATACATTTTCTGACAGTCATTGAGCTGTGATTTAGTGTTACTAGGGTTCACATATTTCTGGTATTTAATTCTGATAAGAGTTTTGTCATGCTTAATGCAGAGACATGACTTGCCATATCCACCAAAGTCATCAGAATCCTTTTCTGCATATCTTCCTTTCAGGATAACAAAACCTAAAAGAGATTTCAAGCTTTTACAATATGAGCCAAACTTATTGTACCTTTGTGTTAAAGAAACAATACTTTTGCATAAATTAAAATTATATCCAAGGGAAAATTTGCTGACATCTTTGTAAACTTCAAGGTCATTTTGGTTTTCTTGGTGCCATGGCATAAGGTCATGGTCCTGTATTTCTTCTGTAAAAGTAGAACAATTAAAATATCCTTTTTTTTTTTTTTTTTTTTTGCAGAGGGTACAGGAGTTACAAAAAGTTATGTTTTTGGCTGACTTTATAAGCTCTCAGTCTAAAGGGATCTACTCCATGCTCTATGAAAAAAGAGAGCAAACTAAACAGCAAAATGGAAAAAAAACCTGTGCTAGTAACAATTATAAATAGTTCACAATAAATAAATATTAATTGAGTTGCTTCCCAAATATGACCTTGCAAAATAAGGATGGAAGTAGAAATAGAAAGACACTGAGACTGAACAGATAAAAACCAGATGGAGGGCATGGATCAATTCATCCAACAAACTTTGGATGGGGTGATATTTTAGACCTTAAAGTGACTAATAATATATTCTGTGTGTCCATGAAGCAGTCATGCTAGCAAATAGAATTAAGCAAAGAATTGAGAAAATTTCAGAATGTGAAAAACAGAACAAGGGAGGTATTAAGTAGTGGTAAGTGAAACATAGAAGTCCACAAGAAAAAAATGCAAGCAGATATCATAAGACAAGAATGAGTAATGTTACGCAAAGAACATTAAAGAATATTCCACGCAAAGGAACTGCCAGGTCAAAACCCAGAGGTGAAAAAACAGGCATGATCAAGAGACACTGGTGTTCTTGCAATATCCCAGGCTTGAGTGAAGTAGAAATATGTAAGATAGGTGAGGCTGGCAAAATTGAGAACATAGAAATGTTGTGGAAGACTTTGCTAGAAATTGGATTTTATGTTAAGAATAATGGCAGTAAGCTGCCAAACAATTTTTGAAGAAAACAGCATGTTCTGAATTGACAGTTCTAAAACATTACTATTCTATGGAGAATGAATTGGGGAGATGAAATTATAGAAGAGACAGGAGGCTATGATAGAGTTCAGGTAGCTTAAGGATGCATAATTACAATGCAGATGGAGAGAAGTGAAAAAGCACATAGCACAGGGGGAGAAAAAGACATGTATCATGGAGAAAAAGAGAACGTTCACTTTTAGAGTGAATATTGGAGGTAGAAGAGGAAAGAATTGATTATAGCCCCTCAATATGTAGCATAAGCATCTATGGAGGTGCTGGTGCCATTTAATAAAGTAATGAAGATTAGGAGCACAGGCTTGGCATTTGGGGAATAGACTGCGACATTCAGAGGTCTACCAGGTTTCAGGTGAATAATCCATATTCAAGAAACAATATGAAAGTACACAGTTGCCGGGCTTGGTGGCTCAGCCTGTAATCCCGTGCATTGGGAGGCTGAGGTGAGTGGATTGCCAGAGTCTGCGGGTTCGAGAACCGCCTGGGAAACTTGGCGAGACCTCATTTCTACAATAAATCAAAAAATTAAGCCGGGCTCAGTGGCTCAGCCTGTAATCACGCGCCTTTGGGAGGCTGAGGTGAGTGGACTGCCTGAGCCTGCGGGTTCGAGACCCGGCTGGGCAGCGAGACCTCATCTCTACAATAAATTAAAAAAAAAAAAAATCAGCCGGGAGTGGTAGCGCATGCCTATAATTCCGGCTACTCGGAAGGCTGAGGTGGAAGGATTGCTGGAGCCCAGCCGGCGAGGCTGCAGTGGCCAGGAGTGGCCACTGCACTCCAGTCTGGGCGACCAAGTGAGACTCCAACTCAAAAAAAAAAGAAAAGAAAAGAAAGTACACAGTTAAATCTATGAATGTGGAAGAAGTTCTAGACTTAAGATAACAATTTACTCATGAGTATATAAACATTATTAGAACATTTGGAACTGCATAGGATTAGATGAGACCATTTAAGTAGTGAGAGAATAAGATGGGCCAGGGCCAAGAGCTTTATGCACTCTAAGTTTGAGAATTTGGGCACACAGATATGCACAGATAATATAAAAAGACCACCCAGAAGACATGTCTATGTTACAGAAGTAAATAAGTAACACAGGCTTTAGTAATAAAGGTTTGGAATTGGAAAATCAACATACAGAACACACAACATCTCAATGCAAGATTACTGAGATAAAATACTTAATAATCGCTTTGTTACTAACTCTTTCTTCTCTCAATCCAACTGCACACCAAAACTAAACGTCCCTAAATGCCAATTTAGTGCAATACTGTAGTCAGTAGTCCAACTTACTATGTAGCTGCTAAAATATTGTGATAAAATAATAAAGATATATTTGGTCTTTGTCGTAGGCGCTTGGTAGAGTTCTTAAATCCCTTACAATTTCCTAAGTGATAAAGATGCTACAACCATTTTTGTTCTAATATTTGGTTGCTGACTCTGGTCCCTGACACAGCTCCTAAATCCCTTGCAATTTCCTGGGTGATAGGAGCATGTTTTGTTCTAAGGAGGTGACTTGATGGGTTCCTGGATAACTTCAGGATAGAGTCTGGTCACCATCCTGAAAGGGGAGAAGGGCTAGAGACTGAGTAAATAGCTGATCATGTCTATGTAATAAGGCTGCCACAAAAATCCCTAAAAGAGAAGAGTTCAGAGAGTTTCCACATAGGTCAGCGCTTCCACATGGTGAGAGGTAGCGCATCCCAATTTCCTGGGGACAGAGATGCAGTGTTTGGGACCCTTTTAGATCTCATGCTATATACCTCTTCATTTGACTTTCCCCCCATATTCTTTTATCATATTTCTCATAATAAACCAGTAAACATGTTTAACTGAATTCTGTACGCTGTCAGCAGAAAATATCAACTCTAAGATGGAGTTGCGGATACCCCTGAAATACAGCCATATCAGAAGAGTGGGTAACCTCGGGGCCATGACTTATCACTGGCATCTGAAGTGTGGACAGTCTTGCGGGACTGAGTCCTTAACCTGGGGGTCTGCACTACCTAGGGTCCAGGTAGTTAACACCACAATTAAATTGCAGCACATCTAGTTGGTGTTAGCAGAGTTGGAGAACTGGTTGGTGTAGAAACCCACCCTGTCACATTTGGTGTCAGAAGTGTTCTGTTAGAGTAGGAAAAAAAAGTTTATTTTTCCTTTACACTGTGATACAATCCCACAAAGTTCAATATATCCAGATACATATATGTCCATCTGGAATTTAAAAATAGGCCCCTGGATCATTTGCTTTTTTCCCAGGGATGAGTTACAAGTGTACTGACTAGTATAAATATCAACTTCTCCAGTCAGTTTAATAATACTGTAATTTGCCGGGATCAGTGGCTCAGTCTGTAATCCCGCACTTTGCGAGGCTGAGGCAGATGGTAGCACATGCCTGTACTTCTGGCTACTTGGAAAGCTGAGGCAGAAGGATTGCTGGAGCCCAGCTGGTCTTCGCTGGGGAGGACATGAGTGTGATACCATACTCCAGCCAGGGCGATGGAGTGAGACTCCAACTAAAAATAGTAATAATGATAATACTGCAACTGTGTCCAACTCCACTCAACAGAACCTTCTCCTATGAAGGAAATGTTCTATATCTGTTTTACAACATGGTAGACTTTAGGCTGTGTGGTTATTGAGTACTTGAATGTCGTTAGGGTTACTACAGAATTAAATTTTTAATATTTTTAATTTTAATTAAATTTAAGTAAATACATATGGCCAGTGCCCAACACACTGGTCACATAGGTATAGACCATCATCAAGACTTTATTCTGAGACATCTGTAAAACAGCCCCTGTCCATTTGACAATTCCCTTTGCACAGCCATGCATTATACAAAAATGCCTCATAATCAAACTCTCAAAAATTTTAAATCCTGTATTCACCATTATAATCTTGAAACAGTCATCCCCAAATTGTCTTCTTTCAGCTAATACCACATTCTTCCTTATCTCTGGAACCCATCAATTAAGAAGTTTTTTGTTTTTTTTTTTTTTTTTTGAGTTGGAGTCTCACTCTGTCGTCCAGACTGGAGTGCAGTGGCCGCTCCCGGCCACCGCAGCCTCGGCCTGCTGGGCTCCAGCGATCCTTCCGCCTCAGCCTTCCGAGTAGCCGGAAATACAGGCATGCGCCACCACACCCAGCTGATTTTTTGATTTATTGTAGAGATGAGGTCTCACTGCCCAGGCGGGTCTCGAACCCGCGGGCTCAGGCAATTCACTCACCTCAGCCTCCCAAAGGCGCGGGATTACAGGCTGAGCCACCGAGCCCGGCTAAATTAAGAAGTTTTAAGGAATCACTCCCCATCCAGAAAAAAAACATTCACCTGCCTTCTTTAACATTTATCCTAGAATCCCATGCTATACCTTCTGATAATTACAATGCTACTAC